TAATCACAAAGTAAAGAAATACAGGTCAAATATTTTGCGTCAATTAAACGTCAAAAGCTGGACTCAAGTGCAGTATTCTCTGTTTTGTTCAAGCTATTCATTTCAAGTTCTGATCAATTAAAGAGATTTTCTTTTCAATAATACGTACTGCAGACCATGGCAGCAAGCCGATATGTGCAAGGACTTGGACGGTAACCTTCTCACGAACGAGTGTGAGGTGATTGAGAGGTGGAAGCAGTACTATGACGAGCACCTCAACGGTGAAGCAGCAGAAAACGAAGGTGGCACGGCAACATACCTTGGAGCACGCGCAGAAGACGACAGGCTACCGGCCCCTGATCTTCAAGAAGTTGAGGAGGAGATCGGTCGGCTGAAGAACAACAAAGCAACTGGTGTAGATCAACTACCAAGTGAGCTATTGAAATACGGTGGTGAAGCACTGGCTAGAGCGCTGCACTGGGTAATTGCCAAGATTTGGGAGGAGGAGATATTACCGGAAGATTGGATGGAAGGTGTCGTATGCCCAATCTACAAAAAGGGCGACAAGTTGGATTGCTGCAACTACCGCGCGATCACACTGCTGAGCGCCGCCTACAAGGTACTCTCCCAAATTCTATGCCGCCGTCTGTCACCATATGCAAGAGAGTTCGTGGGGCAATACCAGGCGGGATTCATGTGTGCCCGCGCTACCACGGACCAAATTTTCGCGATTCGGCAGGTTCTGCAGAAATGCCGCGAATACAACGTGCCCACACATCATTTGTTCATCGATTTCAAATCCGCATACGACACAATCGACCGAGATCAGCTATGGCAGATTATGCACGAGTACGGATTTCCGGATAAACTGACGCGATTGGTCAAGGCGACGATGGATCGAGTGATGTGCGTTGTTCGAGTATCGGGGACACTCTCGAGTCCCTTTGAATCTCGAAGGGGGTTACGGCAGGGTGATGGACTTTCGTGTCTGCTATTCAACATCGCGTTAGAAGGTGTGATCAGAAGAGCTGGGATAGACACGAGTGGCACGATATTCAGGAAGTCCATCCAGCTCCTTGGTTTCGCCGATGACATTGACATTATGGCACGGAACTTTGAGATGATGGCGGAAACGTACATCAGACTGAAGGCTGAAGCTAGACGGATTGGACTTGCCATCAACGCATCAAAGACAAAATACATGAAAGCAAGAGGTTCTAGGGAAGACAATGTTAGCCTCCCACCCCGAGTTCAGATTGACGGTGACGAAATCGAGGTGGTCTATGAGTTCGTGTATTTGGGCTCACTGGTGACCGTCGAAAATGATACCAGCAGAGAAATTCAAAGACGCATTATGGCAGGGAATCGTGCCTACTTTGGACTCCGGAGGACGCTCCGGTCGAATAAAATTCGCCGCCGCACGAAGTTGACTGTCTACAAGACGCTGATTAGACCGGTGGTCCTTTACGGCCACGAGACCTGGACTATGCTCGTGGAGGACCAACGCGCCCTTGGTGTTTTCGAACGGAAGGTGTTGCGTACCATCTACGGTGGAGTGCAGATGGATGACGGAACGTGGAGGAGGCGAATGAACCACGAATTGCACCAGCTGCTGGGAGAACCATCCATTGTCCACATTGCAAAAATTGGGCGACTACGGTGGGCTAGGCACGTCGTAAGAATGCCGCACGACGACCCAGTGAAAATGGTTCTAGAAAGCGACCCAACAGGAACAAGAAGAAGAGGCGCGCAGCGGGCAAGGTGGATCGACCAAGTAGAAGGTGACCTGCGGACCCTTCGCAGACTACGAGGCTGGCGAACTGTGGCCATGGATCGAATAGAGTGGAGACGACTTCTTCGGACAGCAGAGGACAACAAGGCCTTAGCCTGATTGGTAAGGTAAGTAAGACCATGGCAGCAGCACCAGCACCATTTAGAACGCGACGTCGATCGAAATTCCTGGCCGCATCTCAGTAGTTAACAGTGTTCACTCGGCTGTCGACAGAAGCATGTGTATCACGCGATCGTCTGTTTACTTGGCAGCAACCATTGTGTGGTCCTGCTCATTGTTCTTCATCAGCAGTGCTTTCGGCATCGTCGACTTTGGAAAGCAAGAGTTTCGTGATGAGTATGTGAGTGATGACCACGTTGCTGTAATGGAAGCGCTCTTCCCCCCGTTGACGATATTGCCATGCAATGAAACCACTGGAAATGGATCCCGTGCTGATGGAGGAGGCTTATTGGTTAGCGGAAGATAAAGTGTCTGTTGTGTTGTATCTTTTGACCCTAGTTTTACAATGGTTTGGTTAGCTAATTCGTATGAGCCCTATCAAATAAATTAAAAATCATCTCGGAAGTTATTTTGCCTTTCACGCAATCTGTCTGCAATACCGTTGCGTTATATCTGCCAGCCGAAACAAGTTCTAATAAAGTGACAGACCACTAGTTTATTCAACCTAAGACCTTGATGTGTGGTCGAATCCATCCAGGTTGCATAAATAAATTTGATGAATGTATCGAATTAGATTCATCTCATGGCCGTGGAAAACATGCCGTAGAGTGCAACCGGCTTTTTTCCCCGGCGATATTTTAGGGACAAGCGAGCTACTTTTTCAGATGGTAATTTTGAGAAATTAATATTGTCGAAGAGCAACCAGCATCAACTTCAAAATATGGAATTACATATTTAAAAATAATGATGAATGAACTGATTCAACCTGTATTCACATTTACGATTTGAATTCAATTTTATCATTTATTTTCAGAATTTTTTTTTTTTTTTAATTCTTTATTTAAGAGATTTTTAGCCTTAGGCTAGTTCATCTCTAAGTATTTTCAGAAATGAACGTGCTTTAAAAGTGTGAAAAGTTTTTTTTTCCAAAAATGATATCGTGAAAAAAAGGGATTTTGTTGTAGGAAGTTCACTGATTATAAATATAAATAAAAAACGAGAGCACATCAGAACTACTATTTTAACTTTCGCTAATTTCTTGATCAATTTTGCGGTTCGCGGTTATCGAAGCTAAAATTTGAATTAGTGTATTAGCTGATATTGAAGATACATTTTTGATTAGCTGTGCCCACCTCTGCTTTTGGTATAACTAGGTGCACGATAAAGGCAAAAACGTTGGCTTTCTGTTTTCAAATTATCGACATTATAAATCATTTGCATTTTATAGTCGTAAGAAAAATAAATTAAAATATATTTTCATCCTCAGGAATACAGTGTAAAGATATCCTACAAAACTGTAGGGGGAATGCCTCATTTACGTTTGTAGATAATACCATTCAAAACCACAATGAAAATGATTTGTCTTCGGAATTGGAAGGATAAGGTATAAACATATTAAAGGGACACCTGTTAAAATCTCTTTAAAAAAAATGCATTTTTTTTTTTTTTTTTTTTTTTAATCACTAGAATAAATGCAATCATTTCGGGTGTTCAGCATGTTTTTTTTTTCTTGATTTGTTTACCGTCGATCTTGTTTTTCCGTGCTGAGCTCCCACACCTGGACCCTACCTATCGACCCATCAACTTATGAACCGGGGACCAACGGCTTTACTTCCGGTGATCAGAGATGTTATGCCTCAGAACATCCCGGCGGCACCGACAGGGATTGAACCCAGGCCTGCTGGGGTGAGAGGTAATCACGCTTACCCCTACACCACTGGCACCGCTCTTGTTCAGCATGTTATCTAACAATATTTCAGTTTTATTTTCGAAAATTTTCAGCCCAAAATATTAATTTTTCCGTTGTTGGCAACCTTTTTTCTTGAAACCTTACCTTTTACCTTACGAGAAAGGGATCTCGGAGATTATTCGATCAATATTGATAATTCTTCTGTCCGCGATGTAAAAATGAATTACCTAAAATCCAACATCCGATTTTTCGGATATTCCAATTCTTCGATTTGTTACGCTCATTTTCAACGAAAAATCGATCTTTTTTTCCAACGCCATCAATTTGGTAATTTTGCGAATTTCGAAAAAAAAAATCCTGTGTTAGATTCAGTGTTGGAAAAGTTCGCGATATTTCACGAAGTTTACCAAGGGAAAAGTTCGTGAGTCATAGTGATTTTTCGCGAACTTTTCCATCACTGAGATTTAAGATATTTTAATGAAGATCTCAAAACACTAATTGTTTCTTTTCTCCGATGATTCAGTGCTGGCAACGCAGTTCCGCAAGCGACAAAAACATCCCTTGCGTCTGTTTGGCAAGGCTGCCAACAGCAGAAAAAAAAACAATACTTTGGGCTGAAACTTTTCGAAAATAATGCTCAAATGTAGCATAATAACATACTGAAATCCCGAAGGGATTGCATTCATTGTAAAGTTCTAAAAAAGTTAACAAAAAATATCCTTTTTTACAGACCTAAACAGGTGTCCCCTTTAAATGATACAATGGCTTTACAAGTTCTAGAGTGGTTATTTCTAATGGTTTCTACTAAAATATCATCCCAAAATATTCCAGATTCTATTTTGACCATTCCAATAAATCGTCAATACCAAATTCTGCTTTGTATTATAGGTACTGTGATTTGTGAGCCTCAATTGCACGCTGGCTCACGTCGGTCAAGCATCAGGACGCACACCAGCGGCGCCGTTCGTTGTGTTGTTGTCATCGTCTGAAGTCGACGAGACGACGACGTAGACGTTCGTCGTCGAGTTTAATTAAACGATAACACTAATGGACTTAATGATAAAAGTGTCTAGTTTTATTAATAAATTTAGCACAGCCTCGCGACTGACCGCTCTAGATGGCGCAATGGACTGAACTTTAGATGAGACGGACGAACCGGAAAAACAGAGATCGACAAACGAAACGAAGTGGAAACCGGCACTGCAGTCTCGCGCACTATCAGTTACGGGTGTTTTTGTTGTTGCATGCTCCGTTCGGCCAATTGTGAACCAGAAATCCTTTTATAGCGATTGGATGGTAGCTAGGTAGCCTGCAGCAACGAAAATGTACAAGGAAAAAAAAGAAGAAAAAAGCAAGAATAGCAAACTTCGGGGGACGTACCTTGGAGCTGATTCGCTACCGCTGAGTACTCGGAAGCTTTCTGCAGGTTTACTTTCGGTCGGTTTTTGGATGATCCGTTGAACAGGGAAGTTGTGGTGGGGTTGAATGAGGAGGAGTGGGTGGTGGAAGTGGAGCTACCACCGATGATGGCCGATGTGGATGTGGATGGGGTGGAGGTGGTGGTGCAGGAAGAACCGCTGGTGCTGTGGTTGTTGCTAATGGTGGAAGACGTGCTGGCCGGGGTGGCCGATGCCGTCGAATTAGATGAATTCTCCAGCAATAGCTGCTGGACCTGGAGGATGTCGACGTACTCGTCGAGGCTGGCACCGGGGTTGGAGCGGTTGTTTACTGCAAATAGAAGAAACGAAAGGGTTATTAAGATGAAAATTTATTTAACTCTAAGCGCAATGTGAATATTTCTATCTTTTACCTAGCCTTCGACTTGTGATAGAAAAAATGATTTCATTACGAGTTTAATAGGATCACTGTTAGACACACAGACGTTACACTTTCTCCTCAATTGTCGTATACGAATTTAACGTTCAATTTAAATATTATTATATTTTTGAATCCCCGGATCACTTTGACGTTTCTATACATTCTATTGAACTTGTATGGGTCATTACAACTCAAGTGGGTACAGGATTTAAAAAAATAGTTGTGGTCGATGTCACCGATTTGAGCCAAACTTGGCCAAAACGCTTATTTTGGCATTATGAACAAACATCTTTTTTGATTATGCTCTGAAGTTCCTAGATCCCTCTCGGTCACAACCCTGGATTATCGAGATTTTTAAAAATTGCTACTTTCAGAAGAGAGTACTCCACAACCAAATAATCTATTCGTGATTTTAGAACGTCAATTCGAAGGTTTTTTGAAGGTTGATTTACATAGGTTAACCCACATTTTGTTTTTGTTGTAGTAGCTACAGTAAACATGCTGATTACCGGCAGGTATCAAAGTTGTCAAAAAATGAACTATTTGCACCATGGGCGGGATTTTTTTTTATTATTATTTTGGGCTCAAATTTTCACCACACTTTGGAAAACTCTTCTACTAGATGTGTTTTCAAGGGCAAATGATTTGGACAAATTGTTTTTGAGATATGACCAGATGAGTGAGGGGTAGTTTTGAGCTTTTATGGGGAAAATCATTGAATTGCTTGAATTCCTTCACGCCGATGGCACAATAATATTTTTAATGCTATTTTTCACATATGTTGAGCAGGATTCTCATTATACTAAATCATAACTAGCTTATTTATTTACTTCTGTCCATAAATTAAGCGTGGTCTTAAAAGTGAAAAATACGTACGTAGCTTATTTGGTTGTGGACTAATCTGTTCTGAAAATTTCAATTTTTAAAAATTTCGAAAATCCAGGGTTGTAGCCGAGAGGGATCTAGGCACTTCAGAGCAAAATCAAAAAAGGTGTTTGTTCAGATTGCTAAAATAAGTGTTTTGACCAAGTTTGGCTCAAATCGGTGACATCGACCACAGGTGGTGTACCCACTGGTGTACATTGTTAAAGACTTGGCATCCAAACTATTTTTCCGCGTGTCGATATTTTTAAGGATTTTTTTTTTAAAGAGTTACGTATGTTTCTGTGTGGTTGGCAAAATGATTGGCGCATATAAGGGAAATGGCTCTAATGTTGACCTATGGATCTAAGATTGGGCCCAGCGCTAAAAATCTGCTATTTATCAATTTTATCTAGATGAACGTCCATTTCCCCTAGAAAATGTTAGCCTTAATTTCTTACATCCTCTGTAGATAGTTCTTACGAGAACTGTATTAAAGCAGTATGTTTTTCTTTGTTTCTTTATTAAAGATACTTTAAGCCTTAACAAAAGCAGTTTGTAGTGCTTAAGCAAATTGTCCCAAAGTCAACTTTTTCGTCTTCTTCTTTACAGTCCAAATTATTACTTATCGCATATTAGCTTAATGCGTGCTCTCAACTTAGTGATTCAAATGCACTTCCACATTTACTAATTAAGAGATTTCGATGCCAATACCAACGTTGGCATTTGTATATTGTGTGGCAAGCACAATGATCCTCTATGGCCAGGGAAGCCGAAAAATATCCATCCCGATAGATTCCTTCGACCGAACCGCGAATCGAACCCGGCGCCTTAAGCTTGGTAATACCGTGCCTTTACTGACTAGGCTATGGGGCCCCTTCAACTGATTCGTGCAAAACCATTATGATAGAATTTTCTAGTCGTAATTAATTGCTGGAAATGTATTTACTTCATACAATTAGCCATGATAAATATAAACAACTATTTGAAAAGTTTTACCAATACCACCTTACAAAATTTATTTATGTATCGATTTCATACAAAACTGGTTCGTTTTTATTTAAAAAAAAACCTTTAAGAGAATCTTATATTTTCCGGATGGGTGAAGATTTTAGCCAATAAACAATTTCTTAACGAAGAGCTTTGAGTGGGTTGGGTTATTTCTTTTAAATTCCGTTATAATTGCTTATCTTTTGAAAGATACACGTATTTCGTCTACTGCTTGCAGACTTCATCAGTGCCAAGTGTCAACACCACTACACACCAAAAGATAAGCAATCATAACGGGATTTAAAGGAAATAGACCAACCCACTCAAAGCTCTTCATAAAGGGATTCCGTTAAGAGGTACGGCAGATTTAAAGAATTTCTTAACGTTTTTGTTTGCATTCCACCATTTCCGCCCAGCGTCCCTAAAAATAGAACGGATGCCCCAAACACCTAGAAAGCACTTTTACACTGTTAATATTGATTCAAGATAGATGGTTTATCTTCGGTAAAATTGTTCACTAGAATTGAGCCTTGGCCATGGAGAACATTTTGCTTAGGAATTTTCTTGCTAGGTGGTGCTAGTATCTGGAGAAAAGTTCGCATTGGAGATTTCCGCCCACGAAATTTAAAATAATTCGGTGAAATTTTGTGAAATTTATTGATGTACGTCATTTTGGATCATAATTGACTCACATGATGGCACTTGTGAGCAAATAAATATTGTTTAGCATAATATCATGTAATCATTAATACGTGTCTTCTGCAAAATTGTTGCGGTGAGCCTGTCCTTTCAATAATTCATATTTTCGTTCACTAGGTGCCCTAGTGAGTTGAACATTTGAAGTTTTATCAAGATTTTAAAGCATTCAACAAGTCTAAATCATGATCTACTGAACCCTAATAAACTCAGAAATGTTAATTGGATTACCATATAGATAGTTTCAGTGTTGGGCAAAATAGCTCATTCGAGTGAGGTCTTTAAGACAGTGAGTAGTTTATTGAAATAATGTTTGGGAATCGCACCTGATCGAAACATTGTTTAATATCGTTTCCCCGAATCTGTCCGTATAGAACGTTCCCGTCTTTGGCTGAGTTATTTATTTAAATGAGGCCTTTCTAATGGCAGATATTGTTACTAAAAATTGTCCCACTAGGATGCGCAAGTGTACAAAATATTATTTTGACTCATTTCTACTATCCCTGACCATATGGAATGCTTTCATCTTTAGCAACCTACTTAGCAAAGTGCTTATGTTTAGTTAGACATTTCGGAGAGTGGATAGTTTAGTTCAAAAATGTTTCATTAGGTGCCGCTAGTAAGCATAATATTGTTCAGTCTTATTTATAATACTCCTTAGCACACAGATAGCTCCCGTCTTTGGCTTGGTTGCTCATTTGAGTTAGGCCTTTCAGTTATGCAACATATTTTTTATATAGTCACTCTTGGGCCTTTTGTGACTTGTCCAGGGATAAGATTAGAACTCGTGACTTTGGCGTGTGAAAAATATTGTTTTGCCTATTTTCTTATGATCCTTTCCCAAGCAAAGTCGGAGATCAAATTGAATTCAACATTTGCTGTTATGATGAAAATTGTTTAGAATACTCCAGTTGATCTCCTTTGGGTTGACTTAACGGTTAACATAGCAAAAATGAAAGCAGAATTTTACACTGTTGAATCAACCGGAAAACTAATCCTACTTTAAATGAAGTCAATTTAATTGCTGATTTTGCATTCATAACATTTTACCGAACACGAGCCTGGCGTAGATGGTAAGCATCCATGCTTCTCACGCTGAAAGACTCGAGTTCAAATCTCACCCCGGACAAGTCACGAATGACCTAATGTGTTAAACAAAACAAGTAAACAATAATCATTAGCTCAACGACAGATGAATATAAATTAAATTTTCAGCAAGACGTTCAAAGATGAACTTAAAGTTAAGTTGCTTTCCTTTATAAATCTCTTGACTATATAATGAAAAAAAAAAAAAAAAACGAGTTATATCAGACTTATGTCGTGAAAATTGAAATAAAATTGAATTTTCATTATGATCAGAAACTGCAAAATTTAATATCGATTTGCTTTCATTTTTCCTCGAGTTTCCTTAAGTTACCTTCATCGGCAAAGATATTGAATTAAATTACGACTTTCTAATAGCCGGAATGATTAAAATCAGTTTACTATGAGGCACTACCCGAGCAAAAACCGAAAACTGCCCGATCATATATGAATATTTTAATGTGGTATGATATCTTATTTTGGTGTACCTGTGGTATAAAACCTTTTTTTTTGATATTATTCTGCTATCGAAATATTAAGTTAAATATCAAAATATGGCAAAAAAAAAACCCATATTGGTCCACCGGGCAGGTGAATAGAATCTCGTTTTTGATATTATCCATCGATAGACGAGGCCTTAATGGATATTTTTATTTTTATTGGTCCCAGTTTCTGAATTGCTCAATCGAACAGCAATTGCTAGTTTGAATTGGAGTCCAAATCATAATTCAATAATCAATTGATTTATGTCTTCACGTTTTTTTCCAAACATGAAAATAATTTTAAGATATAATTGTGGCTTATCTATGTGGAGCAGATATAAGATTTACGTAGTGCAAAGTGCATATAATTCACTTTCTTCTTCTTGGCTTACAACTGGAGCTTTATGATTTTAAACTTTATCTGCTTTATTGTGCTTACTTTAAGCACAGTTATTATTTACAATCTTATCATATTGCACCAATATTTGACGAACCAATAAAGTTTAATAATCAATCAGCCCAATTTTCCGTATTATCATTGGACAAGACACACGAAAATCGTGTGAAAAAGTTTACGGTGGATCATTTCCAATTAGAGAATGTACAAATTTCTACTGTTTATCGTATTTTGGCATCCTTGACAACAGATTTCGATCGCTACACAATACGTTCAACAACAAAGATTTGATAAGTCACCGCGATGCCGTGGTAAAATTCAAGTGCACACACCCCTACCCCACGTTGAAAAGGATAGGAATTGTTTGTCGAAAGAAATCAAGAGCTCCAGAATACACCGAT